CCGGGTAATTTGAATTCCCGGGCCTTCATTTGCATAAAGCCGGCCGGTGCCATTTTTAAATGCCGGCTAGTTCAAACCCCGTGCCGCGCGGCTACATGCGGCATGGAGTAGCTAGTTCGGATTAGGCTTCCTAATCCCAACCAGCTGTACTCCTCGTGGAAGCCTAATCCGAACTAGCTACTCCGTGCCGCGTGTAGCCGCGTGGCACGGGGTTCGAACTAGCCGGCATTTAAAAATGGCACCGGCCGGCTTTATGCAAATGAAGCCCGGGAAATTCAAATCCCGGGCTTCATTTGCAACTGCGGATGACTACATTACCCCCGCTAGTTCGAACTAGTGGGGTAGTGTAGACATACCCCCAGAGAGACAAAAGGGAGAAAGGAAAAAAAACCAAATTCCTTTGTCCCAGTTTGAAAGTCCCACCTACATTCCTACTGGTCACTCTACCTGGCTAGGTGTAGTTAATCCCTTAATCCCCAGGCTGCTGGCTAACCCTCATAATCGTGACAAATGCACAAAAGCTGCCGGTGTTAGAACTGGGTGATGAAATCCCTGGCTATGAAGAATCCTATACTGGAAAGATCCCAGTTTCGAGGGGCAGAGAAATTGAATTGTCCCCTCTTTCATAGAATTCTCTCTCTCATGCAAAGACACTTCAGCAAGAGAGGAGACCATCATGTAGCGTAGGGGTGGAGTCCAGTCTAGGAGCCGGGAACATGGCCAAAAATGTTGCAATATGGTATCTGATGGACTCCTGTGGCATTTGTGAGCCAAACTTATGTTTTTGGACAAAAGCATTTGGTCTTCACAAACCAAAAAACAAACTGTTTCTTTGTTGATCAGTTTGACTCACTGAATAACACGGGAGGCAAGAGTGGGACAAATTAATCCCCAGGGCCTGAGTCACTCTGAAGGTGTCTTTGGTTCCCTGAGCACATTAATTGGATGTGATGACCTCCTGAGAGTCTGTATTCCCACTTGCTTCAGCAAGCTTCTCCCATAAATCACAAATCTCAGTATAAAACTTCCCACATGCTCCAGGCAGTTTCTTTCTCTTTTCAGTCATACACCCGTACAGAAACCACGGTGGTCAGCAGCTATGGAACTCAAGAACGTCAGCATCACAAATTTCAGCCTGAGCTCCTACCAAATGAGCTAAAGGATTTAAAAAAAACCTTTGGTTGGACAAAAGGGGGCAATTACATTGTCACAGAATCCAGTTCTTTCCTTGGGTTTTCCTACCAACTAAAGAAAATGCCATTTTCAGATGTTGAGACTCATAATTAGGACTGTGAGCCAACTTTTCCTCAATCCGAAACGCCGAGCCACAGAGCTCCCCTTGCCCAAAGAGACGATAGAGACTGATATCTTGAGCTAAGGAATAATCTCATCACACTGAGACGGTTTTCACCTTGATTCTCTCACAAGTCATTGTATGCTGCTCGGATAAATGAACAGAAGAGTCTGTGTGTGGAGGGCGTGATTGACCTGTGTGTCTATGTATGTGTATGGAAGGCATTGTATGGAACACCTAGACTGACCAGCTGGGAACATCAGTCTTTCTCTGTGCTCGTACTGGTATCCATTGTGAACCCGGACTCCTTTTTCTTCACTTATTTAAATCACAGAGATTGGATAAGTTGCCTGAGCCATCGCCAGACCATTTTACTGTAGCTGCCTGATTTCGGCTCAGAGGAGATGGAAGAGGGAAATCTCTCAGAGGGAAATCTCTCAGAGGTTACTGAATTCATTCTCACAGGACTGACAGATCGTCCAGAGCTTCAGCACCCCCTGTTTCTTTTGTTCCTACTCATTTATGTTGTCACCGTGGTGGGAAATGGGGGGATGGTCTTGTTAATCACGATTGACCCCCGACTCCACACCCCCATGTATTTTTTCCTCAGGAGTTTATCTTTCTGTGATTTCTGCTATTCCTTTGTAATTTCCCCAAGGATGCTGGCAAATTTCTTAGCTGATAGGAAAAGTATTTCTTACACTGCCTGTGCTTTGCAAATGTATTTCGATATCGCTTTTCAAGAAACTGAGTGTCTCCTGCTGGCTGTGATGGCCTATGACCGTTATGTGGCCATCTGTAACCCATTGCTCTATATGGTCACCATGTCCAGGCAGCGTTGTAACCTACTGATGGCTGCATGCTATGCTGTGGCATTGGTAGACGCAATCATTAACACATATTTTATATTCCGGCTGTCATTCTGCCACTCCAACATCATCAATCATTTCTACTGCGACATGCCCCCACTGCTGGCGCTCTCCTGCTCTGACACCAGCAGCAGTGAGATTGTGATGTTTGCATCCACGTGCTACATTATAGTGACCAGTGTTGTCATCATCCTCCTGTCTTATGTCTGTATCCTCTCCAGCATCCTGAAGATCCGCTCTGCTGAAGGCCAGCGCAAAACCTTCTCCACCTGCACTTCCCACTTGACCGCAGTGATCATGTTTCATGGCACCCTCCTTTTCATGTATTTACGACCCAGCTCCAGCTATTCCATGGGCATAGACAAAATAGCCTCAGTGTTCTACACGTTGGTGATCCCCCTGTTAAATCCCCTCATCTACAGCCTAAGGAACAGGGAGGTGAAGGGGGCCCTAAGGAAATCCATGAATAAACTCCTAAGCAATTCTTGAATCTTTTTTTCTTAGTCCCCTTTTTGCTGTAGGATTGGTTTTATGATGTCATTGCAAGAGTGAAATGTGTGCTTTCTACAGTTGTATCAAAGGGAGGTTTGCACATCCTCTTAGCTCTTTCTGTGCTCTGTGTGTTAGTTATAGAGATTGTTTGTACCCATGCACAAGGAGAAGAAAGGTGATTTCCTCCACAATGTCCTTTTTTGTAAGGTAAGGGCACAGCAAAACAAGTAAGAGCCAGGGTAAAATTTCCAAGAGACAGCATGGTGTGGATGCCTACTTTGCATAGTGTTCTCTTTTCCCAACTAAATGAACCCACATCTTTCAGTCTTCTCTAATACTGACAATGTGAGAAATAGATTCTGGAGGCACTGATTTCAAAGCCCTTTCTATATCTTGGAACTAAGGGTACATCTAAACTACATGGCTCTGTTGACGGAGCCATGTAGATTTGTTTGTTTGGCAAAGGGAAATGAAGCCACGATTTAAATAATCGCGGCTTCATTTAAATTTAAATGGCTGCCCCGCTCTGCCGATCAGCTGTTTGTCAGCAGATCGAGGCAGTCTGGATGCTCCCCTGTCGGCATGAAAGCCCTTTATCGACCTCCCCAGTAAACCTCATCCTACGAGGCATAACGGGGAGGTCGATAAAGGGCTTTCAGATCAGCGCGGGAGCGTCCAGACTAACACGCTGCGCTGACAAACAGCTAATCAGCTGTTTGTCAGCTCAGCTCGGCAGCCATTTAAATTTAAATGAAGCCACGATTATTTAAATCGTGGCTTCATTTCCCTTTGCCAAACAAACAAATCTACATGGCTCCGTCAACAGCAGGGGATTGGACCCTCAGAACTCCCAGACAGAGTGATCTTAACTTCTATAGGCAACATTAATGAATTGATAAGAGGCTCCCATATTTGTTTATGCTCACAGTTAAGTAGATAGATACTTCACTCCCGATGTTCCATGTAATTCCATGCACTGTAAATACAGTGTTTTTAAAATGACTTTATGTTTTGCAATTACTGTTTCATTTTCCACATTCCTTGATGAAAAATTAACATATTTTGAAACAACAACAACAATGTACAATCTGTAATTGCCTCTTCTCATTCCAACTGTTTGGAAAAGCATTTTTCAAAGCACTACTAATGCAGAGCATATATGGACAAATGTAAAATAATGGATATTCAATTCTTTCAGCCTATGACTCAAGAAGTATAGTCTTCCTCCTTTTTTCCCTGCTCTTGGCATCAATACCATCTGAAGGAAATGGAGAGGCATATTGGAACGGGGGAGGATTCTGGTTCAAAGGCACAAGCCTGCAAGACTGGAAAAGGAGGTGGTGAGATAAATCTTTGCTTTGAATTAATTTAGTCTCTTCAGTTAGGTGTTACTGACATTTTACCTTTTATTTCTTTGTAACCAGTTCAGATCTTTATGTCTTGTTATTGGTAATCACTGAAAATCTTTCTTTCTGTAGTCAATAAATGTGTTGGATCATTTTATCAAAGCCACTTTGTTTTGGTATCAAAGTATTTAGGAACCTCTACCTGGGACCAGGATTGAAAGTATTTAGGAAGCTCTACCTGGGACCAGGATTTCCACCTGTCATTGTCTGTCAATAAAAAGACAGACTTTACACACACTGGTGTTCTCCAGGAGGGCACTGGACATACAGGACACACAATCTATTGGGCATAGCTGTGCCCTGTGACCTAGAGGTTAGTGCTTTGTGTGGTTGTATTGAAAAGCAGCATGTGATACCCTTGTTCCAGAACCTCCTAGAGGTAGACCCCAGAGCCTTAGTTATGTGTTATTTTCATAGCCCGGGTGTCCTCCCCCAAGGTGCTAGCAGACACATTAGGAGAGAAGAAAGCCATCTCCTCCTCTTTCTGTGAGACTCCACTCTGGTTTCCCAGTACATTAGTGGTGGTACAGTGACTGCTGTTTCTCTGTCCCTTCAGAGGCAGTGAAGAGAGAGGGAGAGGGACCTCGGGATATCCGGTCCTTCCATTTATACTCCCTTTCAGTCACATTACCAGCTAGATACCAGTGACAAAACGTCTATGTGAATGGATCTTTATGGCTCCTTTTTCCTCATATTTTTGAGCTTCTTTTATTTCCCTTCTACCACAATGATGCTATTTTCTGCTTCAATACAGAATTCACACATTCCTTGGTTTCAGACAGACCTGTTTTCTGACAACAGTTTGTAACATGAGTTAATAATAGCATACAGTATCCTCGTTTTTCCTCACATACCGTATTGCCACTCGTGATTTCTCAGGATGATACCAATAAACCAATTATAGTTTTCAGATGATACATTCCCAGGGGGATTTTTAAAAGATCTCAACAACAACAACAACAAACTCAAAGATTTCACACAAAGAAATTAAGCCCCTCTGAAACACAAGACACAAACACATCAGCCATTGAAATTTTTGACCCCTAAAATGTGAGAGGCCCACTGCATGTATAGCACAACAAAAATTTCTAGCCACGACCATAAATTTGTCTAGGTAGCACAATCATTGCTAATTTGTGGGAACGGCTCTTGATTTGAACGACCCTTCAAATTCCATTGAAATGTGATAATATCCTATCGCAATAAAACTCTTCATTCCCATCCTCGCGCCTCAAAGGAAACACAGCAATAGCTCATAGCATGTTCAATCTGCCTTTCACTTGGAACATCCCCCAGGTAGCCAGCTGTGGAGTGTGCCAGGCAGGAGTTAACCTGCATTAGAATCTTGTTCAATTCTGGTCTGATCTCTGTGAGGTCTAGATCTAGTCCCAAATCCCAGAAAAAGCCCTTCCAAGGGTGCCTAGGACAGGAGTCAAATTCAGCAGAGCCAGGGCTCTTGCATCAATGACATTTGCTAAATTTGAGGTCCCTCTGCTCTTGTTCTGTAATGGTTTGTCTACACAGCAAAGTTATTTTGAAATAACAGCCCTTATTTTGAAATAACTTTACTAGTATCTACTCAGCCAAACCGCTATTTTGAAATGCATGTTGTGTGGAGACGCGTTATTTTGAAATAACTTTACTAGTATCTACTCAGCCAAACCGCTATTTTGAAATGTATGTTGTGTGGAGATGCGTTATTTTGAAATAACTTATTTCAAATTAACTATTTTGAAATAAGATATTTTGAAATAACGCTGTAGTGTAGATATACCCTCAGGGAAGAACACAGCCCTTCAGCAAGGGGAAAGGTTTAAACAAGTAAATATTCCCCTCTCCGAACCCTCACTGGGATTTGTTGAGGACTGAAGACGGTTTCAGTGAAGTTGTACTGCCTAGTGCAATGGCCCTAGAGGGCAGGGGCATGAAGAGCGTTTTCTCTTCCCTAGCATGACCAGATTGCTGGAGAAGGACAGGTGCTTGCTGCTAGCACAGACTCCAATGGACCCATTTACTTATTTATTGGGCAGTAACAGCAGGGCACCCTCCTCTCCCAAACACCCCTTCTGGTTCGGTGTCTCTACACTTTAGAGCAGTGGTCTCCAATCTTTTTATACCCAAGATCACTTTTAAAAGGACAGCCAAAGCCAAGAGCTACTGCCCTGCCCTTCCTTGAAGCCCCGCCCTCTCTATTCTCCTCCTCTCCATCACTTGCTATCCCCAATCCTTATACTGCTACTTTAAAAAAAATCCCACCATTCCTCACAGCTCTTCACCTGTGCAGTTGCTCGGTGAGTAGCTGCTCCTCAAATGAGGAAATCTAATGTAAATGTACTGCACAGGTGCACAGTTCAGAGACGGCTCAAGAGGTACTCTTAGTATGCCCAAGATCTACTGGTAGATCACGATCTACTGGTTGGTGACCACTGCTTTAAAGTATCCCTGCCCTGCTATCGGGCCATACCCCAGGGAATCCTACCTGGAGGAAGTGGTTTTGCCTTTCCAGCTTCCTTCTGACCCTAGCTCTAGCCACAACCATAATCAGTTGGGCCACTAAGTATTTAACAACCCTTTTACCCCATCTAATTGTAGGCCACTCTCTCAGCGGCCCAACTGTCTCTTCAAATCCCGGCACAGGAACCCTAGGAACAGCAGCCACACAGCACCATGTCCCTTTAACCAAACTGCGTCAGGTTCCTGGCCTACTGCACCATGTACCCAAACTTCACTGATGCTTCATCTTTACCTCAAGGCAAATGGAGGTTGAGGCCCAGCAGCCAGCCAGGAGAGCCTGCTCACTCCCCCAGTTCTGCCAGCACTGAGCTGTCCGTGGTGCTAAAATTTGTTTTAGGCATCCAGGAGTTCAAAGGCACGATGCTGATTTACACCACGTGGGGTTCTAGACTGGGGTGGGAAACATTCTTTGGACCGGGAGCCACAGAAAATCAGAACGCTGATTTACACCATGTGAGGTTCTAGACTGGGGTGGGAAACCTTCTTTGGACCGGGAGCCACAGAAAATCAGTCGGGGGCCACACACAAATTAAAAGCAAAAAAAACCACCTCACTGTGGCCCCCAATTGAGGAGACACCCCACATTTCCCTCGGACATCAGAGCCTTGCGGGGGAGGCCAGGATAGTAGGTTTTGTGTGCTCCAGTCCTCAGGGGTGCAGCTGCATGCAACCCTCAGACCTGAGCTCCCCCATGTCTGTTCTACACCCTTGACATCTATGACTCTATGTCAAGTTACAGAGATTTTCCATTGATTCCTGATTTTTAATACAACCATCTGAGAACACACAACATTGGACCTCACCCTCTAATTACAGGTAGAACATAACCTTCTGAGAACACACAACATTGAACCTCACCCTCTAATTACAGGTAGAACATCTCAATTGGAAACCCACCCAGCCTTGATTTGGTAAGTGGTATTAAATCCACCATGACTCTTGGCCTGTTTCCCTGTTCGTGGTTGAAAACATGGTCAGGTTCAAAGCCATTGAAGACGTGGCCCTTTGGCTACAATGGGGCTGTCCTGATTCACACCGACTGGAGATCTGGCCAATGACTCCAATGGAGAGACATCCATGTACACTGGCAGGGGACCTGGTCTAATGAGCAGCGTCTGTGCGATGGTTTCACTACTGAGCATGTCTGTCCACATCCACCAGACCTAGCTCAGTGCGGAGAAGCACTGAGCTTCCTCAGAGGGCACAAGCTGAACAATGTAGAAATTCTAAGGAGGCCCTGTTGGACTGTGTAACATCACTACATCACATTCTCTTTTTTCCTACCTCAACAACGCTGCTGGGCAGGGCCAAGTGGCCACTGTTGGGAAAATCTCCATGTGAGAGGTTGGACAGACAGGGCTCAGCTGTATTGCAGTAACTGCCAAACCCCGGGAAGTGAAGGAAGAGAATTGCTATGTGCAATGCCCAGGAGCGGCCAGTGTTATAAGTAGCCCATCTCACAATATGAGATCCAGGAAGGATACTGTACAGGCCAGATGCCAGCACTGACGGGTGGAGGAACTGAATTTTCTAGGATACTGCACAGGCCAGATCCCAACACTGACGGGTGGAGGAACTGAATTTTCCCCTCTTCCATGGAGATATCTTTTCTTTGGAAAGTGTCAGCTTTCCACCAACTTATCAATCTCGCTTCCTCCCCAAGCTACTGTTGTGAGACACAGGTGATGTTCCAGGGCAGTTCAGCAAGAGGGAAGGCCATCATTCAGCATAGGTCATGCAGTGCAGTCTGGGAGCCTGAACCTAGCCACAGTATGGGGGGATGTGGTATCACAAGGACCCCTCTCATATTTCTGAACTGAACAACTAAGTATGGACAAACCACAAAACACATTTTCCATTTTTGTTCAGATTTACTTAATGGAACGGATCACAGTTCCACCTTTCTGGACCGGAACATAGTGGGATGCCATAGATCCCTAGCATCGAAGTAGATATATCTGACACAATTTGCATCATTTTGTAACAAGAGAAGGAAAGAGTAGGCCAAATTAATCCCAAGGGCATGCGTTACCCCCATGGTGGCTTTGGTTCCCTGAGCTCATTAATGAGGTGTTCTGTCTCCCTGGGCTCGGGTTTTCCCAGATGCTTCAGGAATAATGTTCCATAGATCGCAGATCGCACTATAAAACTTCCTGAATGCGACAGTTTCTGTCAATGGGGAAACACCACCACGTCTGTCTCTTCACAGGAGGTACGTTCCCTTGTCCTACAACACAACCACACACCCATAGAGAAACCAGGGTAATTGGCAGCTATTGAATTGAAGATCCCCTGCACTAAATACCTGAGCCCAGATCCAACCCTTCAAACTAAAAGAAAAACCTCAGTGTTTGAAAAAACAGGCAATTAGAATGTCACTGAAGGAAGCGCTTTCTCTGGGCTTTCCTAAGACTAAAGAGGGTGCCATTTTTAGGTGCCAAAAAGTGTCATGAGCACAGTAGAAAAGCTTTACCCCAAAATCACATTCCGAGCCACAGAACTTCCCTTTCCTAACGAGGGCAAACAGATTGGCACACATTAATCTCAACCCTTTGAGCTAAGCAAGAATCTCATCCCACTCAGATGGTTTCACCCTGATTCTCCTTCAGCGGAGTCACAATTCACTATTTTCTGCTTGAATTAGTGAACAGGAAAGTTCATGTGTGTGGTACGATTAACATGCGTATCCTTGTATTTGTACAGTGTGTGCATTGAATGGAAGACCTGGAATGATCAACTGGGAACATCTGGCTCTTTAGACTAAGCCCTTCTTTCAGGTCATACTGGTACCCATTTTTCATCACTTCATTACAGAGAAGAGACTGGTTCACAGAGCCATTCATCTCCCCACATCCCTGTTGCTGCCTGATCTCAGCTCAGAGGAGATGGAAGGACTGGTTTACAGAGCCATTCATCTCCCCATATCCCTGTTGCTGCCTCATCTCGGCTCAGAGGAGATGGAAGAGAGAAATCACTCGGAGGTGACTGAGTTCATTCTCTCAGGACTGACAGATCAGCCGGAGCTGCAGCTCCCCCTATTTCTGTTGTCCTTACTGATTCATATTATCACCCTGGTGGGCAATGGGGGGATGATCTTGTTAATCAAGATTGACCCCCGACTCCACACCCCCATGTACTTTTTCCTTGGCAATTTGTCTTTCTGTGATCTCTGCTATTCCTCGACAATTGCCCCCAAGATGCTGCAGAATTTCTTAGCCAAGACGAAAAGCATTTCTCGCACTGCCTGCGCTGTGCAAATGTATTTATGTTTCTTTTTTCAAGATGTTGAGTGTCTCTTGCTGGCTGTGATGGCCTATGACCGTTATGTGGCCATCTGTAACCCGCTGCTCTATACGGTCACTATGTCCAGGCGGCTTTGTAACCTGCTGGTGGCTGGGGTGTATGGGGTGTCATTGGCGGATGCAACAACAAGCACGTACTATACTTTCCGGCTGTCATTCTGCCACTCAAACGTCATCAATCATTTCTTCTGTGACACCCCTCCGCTGCTGGCGCTCTCCTGCTCTGACACCCGCATCAATGAGATTGTGATGTTTGCCTCTATGTGCTACTCTGTAGTCACCAGCATTGTGATCATTCTCCTCTCTTATGTCTGTATCATCTCCACCATCTTCCGGATCCGCTCTGCCGAAGGTCGCCGCAAAGCCTTCTCCACCTGCACATCCCACTTGACTGCAGTTGGCATGTTTCATGGCACCCTCCTCTTTATGTATTTCCGACCCACCTCCAGTTATTCCATGGACACCGACAAAATAACCTCAGTGTTCTACACGCTTGTGATCCCCATGTTGAACCCCCTCGTCTACAGCCTGAGGAACAGGGAAGTGAAGGGCGCCCTGAAGAAAGCAAAGAATAAACTCAGAAGGATTTCTTGAATCTTTTTACTCAGTCCAAACTTTTCTTGGCACTGGGGTTGGTTTTATGATTAGCGGCAAATGTGAATTGCATGATTTTTATAGCTGAACCAAAGGTAGTTTGTGCACCCTCCTGATACTCTGTGGCTCTTCATGTGCTCTGTGGGGTAGATGTACAGATTGTCACTTGGTTTCTGTCCATGTGCAAGGAGAAAAATGTGATTTCCATCACAATGAGCATTATTGTAAGTTAAGAGCACAGCAAAATATGAGAGAGCACAGTGTGGGTGCCTACTCTGTGACAGTCTGCACTGAACCGAATAGACAATAGCATGGAAATGGTGAGTTAAATACCAGTTAAAAAGAAATGTAATCATACAGACATCAGATAATTATACCACATCAGCCGGTTCGCTACGTGTTCTTGCTCGCTCTGAGATTCATAGAATCATAGAACTGAAAGAGGTCATCCTGTTCAAGTACCTGACCTCAGGGCAGGACCAACCACTAATTTGACCTTCCCCAACAGGTGTTCATCTCATCTGCTTTTAAAGATGTCCAGAGATGGAGATTCCACAACCTCCTCCCAGACCATTTATTCCCATGTTTCACTACTGTTACAATGTTGAAGGTTTTCGTAATTGCTGACCTAAATGTCCCTTGCTACAATTTAAACCCATTGCTTTTTGTCCTGTCATTGGAGACATTACTGTAATATTTCTCCTTCTTCTTTGTAACACCCTTTCACTTATTTGAAATCTATTCCCATGTTCCCTCTCAGACTTCTCTTCTCCAGACTAAATGAACCCTGTACTTTCAGTCTGCCCGCACTGGTCATGTTTTCTAGACCTTTCATCACTTGTGTTACCCTTTGCCGGACTATTCAAATTTGTCCACAGCTTTCCTGAATGTGGTGCCCAGAACTGGACAACATCCTCCAGTTCCGTCATGATCAGCAAGGAGTAGAGTGGAAGCATTGCCTCTTGTATCTTGCTTACAGCACTCCTGCTAACACATCCCTGAATATTGTGGGGTTTCTTGCATCAGTTTCACACTGTTGACTCATACATAGCCTGTGGTTCACTACGAATCCTTGATCCCTTTCTGCAGTACTCCTTCCTGGACAGTAATTTCCCATTTTGTGAGTGTGTAACTGATTGTTCCTTCCTGCAGGAGCACTTTGCATTTGTCGATATTAAACAAAACTAGTCTCCGAACTGATCCCTAACTGTGAGACATTTATGGATAGTGCCCTTTGTTCTCTCCTGGATCTTTCTCAGTGACTGTCAATGCCAATCCTGCAAGTCTATCTATGTTACACCACTTCACGCAGATATAACTCAGTGTGATTTAAAGAGAGAGCACCCCGTGATGTATTAATGGGAGGGTCGCGTAACAGAAGTAGTGTAAATTCAAACACCTGACAGCATCATTGTAGATCAGTCTTGATAAGAATCCGTGACATAACATAGACTCTGAGGAAGGGAAGTGCAGATGTTGATGGGCATGTGCTCTCCCATTGACTAAGCATGTTTTCAACATGCTGGTTAATAAATGCTGCTTCGTTTATCCCAGCGGTCTCGATTTAGCCAGTGGTGTAGATATGGCCTCTGTCTCCCCTGTCTGAGCTTTTGCATTGTGAATAAAACACAGGAAGAATCAAAGGATGAAAAAAAGTAGAATGATTCTGTAGACTGGTTGCTAGGGGAACCCCTCTACACAGTGAGGGTATGTCTACACTACCATCCTAATTCGAACTAGGGTGGTTAATGTAGGCAATCGAAGTTGCAAATGAAGCCCGGGATTTGAATTTCCCGGGCTTCATTTGCATCTTGCCGGGTGTCGCCATTTTTAAATCCTGGTTAGTTCGGACTCCGTGCTCACGGCTACACGCGGCATGGACTAGGTAGTTCGGATTAGGCTTCCTATTCCGAACTACCTGTACTCCACCGTGGAACGAGGTGGACAGGTAGTTCGGAATAGGAAGCCTAATCCGAACTACCTAGTCTGTGCCGCATGTAGCCGCGGGCACGGAGTCCGAACTAGCCGGGATTTAAAAATGGCGTCGCCCGGCAAGATGCAAATGAAGCCCGGAAAATTCAAATCCCGGGCTTCATTTGCAACTTTGGTTGCCTACATTAACCACCCTAGTTCGAACTAGGGTGGTAGTGTAGACATACCCTGAGATGCTTAACTTCATGGCTATGTCTAGACTGGCATGATTTTCCGCAAATGCTTTTAACGGAGAAGTTTTTCCATTAAAAGCATTTGCAAAAAAGAGCGTCTAGATTGGCATGGACGCTTTTCCGCAAAAGCACTTTTTGCAGAAAAGCGTCCGTGCCAATCTAGACCCGGTTTTGCACAAGAAAGCCCCGAACGCCATTTTTGCCATCGGGGCTTTTTTGCGCAAGAGTTTTCAGCTGTCTACACTGGGCCTTTTGCGCAAAAACATTTCCGGAAAAGGGCTTTTGCCCGAACGGGAGCAGCATAGCATTTCCGCAAGAACATTGACAATCTTACATGAGATCGTCAGTGTTCTTGCAGAAACTCAAGCGGCCAGTGTAGACAGCTGGCAAGTTTTTCTGCAAAAGCAGGTGCTTTTGCGGAAAAACTTGCTGGTCTAGACGCAGCCATGTGTTTATTTCAATGGCTATTTAATTAGGTAGAAGAACTTTGGAAGAAGAGTTTGAGAGAGTCTCAGAGCTGAATAGCAGCTTGCTCCTTGGCTGGGATTCTTTCGGGAAATACAGGAAACCCAACCTCACATCTGTGCCCAGCACTCGACAGAAGCAGGAAGTGAATCTTTATTGGCCACCTCAGAGGTGAACTTCCCAATACTAGGCAAAAAATTACAAAGGGATGATGAAACCCCCACCACCTCCTACCTTTGGCTGCTTTGTGACCTAAATCTTCTCCCCTCCTCCCATACACACTCCATGATTTTGGGACAAAGCTATTCTAAAATTTGTCACACATCTGTGGGTATGTCTACACTAGCTCATTAATTCAAGCTAGGTAGGCAAATGAGGCAACCAGAGTTGCAAATGAAGCCCGGGATATAAATATCACATTACCAGCTGGTTACCAGGAGACAAAATGTCTATGTCAAAGGAGCTTTATGGTTCCCTTTTCCTCATATTTTTGAGCTTCCTTTATTTCCGTTCCTCCTCGATGACGCTATTTACTGTTTTGATACAGAATTCACCACAGCACACATTGCTTACGTTCAGACAGACCTGTTTGCCGACTTCCGTTGGTAACATATGTTAATAACAGCATATAGTGTCCTCTTCTAACCTCACATACCGTATTGCCACTCGTGATTTATCAGGGTGATACTGATAAACAAATAATGAGTTTTCAGGTGATACATTTACAGGTCTATTTATAAAAGACCTCAAAAGAAAAAAGTAAAACACAAAGACTTCACACCAAGAAATCAAGCCCCTCCACAGGCTACGTCCTCTGAAATATAAGACAAAAAACCACATCAGCCATTGAAATATGACACACAAAATGCGAGAGGTCTACTGCCTGTGTAGCGCACCAAAAAGTTGTAGCCACACCCATAATAACCTTGTCGAGACAGCACAATCATAACCAATTTGTGGGAATGCTCCTTGATTGCTCCTTGTCAATGGGTGGGCTCCCCTCGTGTGGACTCCCATGGTCAAAATCCCCCCACGGAGCCATTTATCAGGGTCTGCATGGCCCCATGGCCGGAGTCTGAATCCCAGATCCCCCTCTTATGGGGTTAGTGTGGCTCAGCAGTCTAAGTCCCTATAGAGCTCCCTCTCCCCTCTAATAAGGGTCACTATGGTCCAGAGGCCCAGTCTTAGTAACACTCCCCTCTAATGGGGTAAGTATGGCCCTGGGGCCTAGTCCATGTGGCACTCTCTTCTGTTGGGGTAAATATGGCCCAGAAGCTAGTCCTTGTGGTGCCCCTCTATCAGGGTCAATATGACCCTGTGATCAGGTCTGTGAAGTACTCCCTTCTATTGGGATAAATACATCCTGGATGCCTAGTCCACAGGTTTCAGGAGCTACCACTACTTAGGAGCACTGCCAAGAAGGCTCGGTCCACTGCTTGCTCAGCGAGGGCTCCTGCTCCGAAACACGCTGAGAATCCAGAGTTTCAACTCCCCACACTGGGCCACTTCCTACCACCCCGCGTGTCTCCCCGTTGCTGTACCCCTGGAACGTCTCTTGGACTGTGGCAGCAACGATGGCAGGGGCGGCTGCATTTCCTCCTCCAGCTCTGGAGTTTGATCAGCAGGTCCTTCCCCTGCTGCGAGCCACCCCGAGTGAGCTGACTCAGGGCTCTTTATACTCCAGCTCACCAGTGAGCATCCCCGGCAAGGCCATGGGGGAGGGGTGCTTTCAGCCAGCTGGGCCCAGCCCACAGTCTGTTCTATAGTGCAGGGCTGAGGCGCCCCATCACAACCCTCAAAACCCTTTCAATTCCATGGGAATGTGATAGTATCCTATTGCCATGAAATACTTCAATCGCACCTGTCCCGCCTCCAAGAAATACACAGCAATGGCGCATTGCGTGTTTAATCTGCCTCCCAATTGGAATGTCCCCTGGGGATTTAGCTGTGGAGTGGGCCAGGCAGAAATTAACCTGGATTAGAATCCTGTTCAATTCTGGTCTGATCTCTCTGAGGTCTGGATTTAGCTCCAGATCCCAGACAGCTCATGAAAAAGCCCTTCCAAGGGTGCCAAGCACAGGGGTCAAATTCAGCAGAGCCAGGGCTCTTCCGTCAATGACAGTTGCTAAATTTGACGTCCCTCTGCTCTTGTTCTGTAAGGGTATGTCTACACTTGCTCCATAGGTCGGACTAGGGATGCAAATGGAACATACCAAAATTGCTAATGAAGCATGGGATTTAAATATCCTGTGCTTAATTAGCATATTCGCAGCCAGCCGCCATTTTGGATTCGGGATATTGCAAAATTAGTTGCCCCATGTAGATGCGTTATTCTGAGAGAAAACCCTTCTCTTGGAATAACTGTTATTCCTCATGCAATGATCAGCTTTCCACCAACTTATCAAACTCGCCTCCTCCCCAAGCCATGGCTGTGGAACACTGGTGATGTTCCAGAGCTGTTCAGCAAGAGGAGAGGCAATCATGCAGCATAGGGCATGGAGTGCAGTCTGGGAGACTGACCCAAGCCAGAGGATGGGGGGACGTGGTATCACAGGGACCCCTCTGGTATTTCTGAGCTGAACTAAGTTTGGTCTCTACAAATAACAGTGCACACTTTCTATTTTTGTCCAGATTTAGTTAGTACCCTTCTTGAACGGGATGTCATGTATCCCTAGCCTCAACTCAATAACTCTGACACAAATGGCATCATTTAATAACAATAGGAGGAAGGAGTGGACCAAATTAATTTCCAGGGCATGAATTATCCCAATGGTGGCTTTGTTTCCCTGAGCTCGTTAATGAGATGTTGTGTTTCTCTAGGCTCAGGTATTCCCAGTTGTTACAGGAATAATGTTCTGTAGATCACAGACCTCAGTATAAAATGTCATGGATGCTCCCGATGGGCAGTTTCTGTTGAGGGGGGAAACACCACCACATCTATCTCTTCTCAGCAGGTACGTGCTGTTCTCCTACATCAGAGCCACACATCCATAGAGACACCAGGGAGATCAGTAAGTTTTGAACTGAAGATCCCCAGCACTAAATACCTGAGCCCAGATCCTACCCCTCAAAAACGAAAGGAAAAAGCTCTGCGTTTGGAAAAAGAGGCAATTATAAAGTCTCTGAAGATAGCGCTTTCTCTGGGATTTCCTATAGACTACAGAATGTGCCATTTTTAGGTGACAAAAAGTGTCATGGGCACAGCACACAAGCTTTATCCCAAACTGAGATGCCAAGGTACAGACCTCCCCTTGCCTACAGAAGGGAGGGAAATTGACACTCAATAATCTCGGATTAGTGAACAGGAGTGTTTGTGTGTTTGTCATGGGCTCCGCTTGCCTAAAGAAGGGAGGGAAATTGACACTCATTAATCTCGGATTAGTGAACAGGAGTGTTTGTGTGTTTGTCATGGTTAACCTGCATGTCCTTGTATGTGTACAGTATACACACTGCATGGAACAACTGGAATGACAAGCTGTGAACATCTGGCTTTGTGGACTAAGCCCTTCTTTCAGGTCACACTGGCATCCATTTTTTGTCACTTACTTCAGTACACAGAAGGAACCCGTGTACAGAGCCGTCTACCTGCCCACCTCCCTGCAGCTGCCTGATCTCTGCTCAGCAGAGATGGAAGAGGGAAATCACTCGGTGGTGACTGAGTTCATTCTCTCAGGACTGACAGATCGTCTGGAGCTTCAGGTCCCCCTGTTTGTGTTGTTCCTACTGATTTATGTGGTCACCCTGGTGTGGAATGGGGGGATGATCTTGTTAATCATGACTGATTCCCGACTCCACACCCCCATGTACTTTTTCCTTGGCAATTTGTCTTTCTGTGATTTCTGCTATTCCTCCACAATTGCCCCCAAGATGCTGCAGAATTTCTTAGCCGAGAGGAAAAGCATTTCTTTCATCGGCTGTGCTGTGCAAATGCATGTCTTCATCGCTTTGGCAGATGCTGAGTGTCTCTTGCTGGCTGTGATGGCGTATGACCGTTATGTGGCCATCTGTAACCCGCTGCTCTATACGGTCACCATGTCCAGGTGGCTTTGTAACCTGCTGGTGGCTGGGGTGTATGGAGTATCGTTGGCGGATGCAACGACAAGCACGTATTATACATTCCGGCTGTCATTCTGCCACTCCAACGTCCTCAATCATTTCTTCTGCGACACCCCCCCGCTGCTGGCGCTCTCCTGCTCTGACACCCAAATCAATGAGATTGTGCTGTTTGCCTCCATGTGCTACACTACAGTGATCAGTATTGTGATCATCCTCCTTTCCTATGTCTGTATCATCTCCACCATCCTGCAAATCCGCTCTGCCGAGGGTCGGCGCAAAGCCTTCTCCACCTGCACTTCTCACTTGACTGCAGTGGCCATGTTTTATAGCACTCTCCTTTTTATGTATTTCCGACCCACCTCTAGCTATTCCATGGACACCGACAAAATAACCTCACTCTTTTACACACTGGCGATCCCCGTCTTGAACCCTCTCGTCTACAGCCTGAGGAACACGGAGGTGAAGGGCGCCCTGAGGAAAGCAATGAATAAACTCCAAAGAATTTCTTGAATATTTTAAACTCATTCCAAAGTTTTCTTGTCAGTAGGCTTGGTTTTATGATCTTGGTGAAAGAGGGAAGTGTGTGATTTTTATAGCTGAAACAAAGCATGTTTGCATTCTCTCCTGATACTCTGTGACTCTTTATGTGCACTGTAGGGTAGATGTAGAGATTGTCAGTTGTCAAAGTAGATGTCAGAGACTGTGTTCATGCTTAAGGAGGAGAAAGTTGATTTCCATCACAATGAACTTATTTGTTTTGCTGTGCCCTAAGCTTACAATAAAGAGCAACGGTAACATTCCCAAGAGAGAGCGTGGTGAGGGTGCCTACTTTGTGACAGTCTGCACTCAGCTGAATAGATTATAGCAACGGCCAACTTGGAGGGAAGAGTTGAGCGAAAAAAAAAGAAAAAGTGAGTGAACCTGATACACACCCTTTCACTTATTGGAAATCTATTCCCATGTCCCCTCTCAGCCTTCTCTTCTTCAGAGTAAATGAACCCCGTACTTTCAGTCTGTCCACACAGGTCATGTTTTCTAGTCTGTTCATCACTTTGTTACCCTTTGGTGAACTATTCAAATTTGTCCACAGCTTTACTGAATGTGGTGCCCAGAACTGGACAACATACTCCAGTTCCGTCATGATCAGCAAGGAGTAGAGCGGAAGCATTGCCTCTTGTATCTTGCTTACAGCACTCCTGCTAACACATCCCTGAATAATGTATGGTTTCTTGAATCAGTTTCACACTGTTGACTTATATATAGCCTGTGGGCCATTATGACTCCTAGATCCCTTTCTGCAGTACTCCTTTCTGGACAGTAGTTTCCCATTTTGTGTGTGTGTAACTGATTGTTCCTTCCTACGGGAGCATTTTCCATTTGTCGATATTAAACGGAACTGGTCTCCGAACTGATTCCTCACTGAGAGACATTTCTGGGTACTGCCCTTTATTCTGTCCTGGATCTTTCTCAGTGACTGTCAATGCCAATCCTGCAAGTCTATCTAAGTCGTACCACTTCACACATATAACTCAGCTTGATTTAAAGAGTGCACCCCATGCTGTATTAGTGGGAGGGTTGCCTAACAAAAGTAGTGCAAATTCAATCTACTGTCACTATCATTGCAGACCAGCTTCAATATGAATCTGTGACGAAACACAGACTCTGAGGGAAGGGAAGTACAGACATTGATGGGTAAGTGCTCTCCCATTGATTAAGCACATTTTTAACATGCCGGTGGTCTCAATTTAGCCAGTGGTGTAGATATGGCCTCAGTCTCCCCTGTTGGAGCAATTGCGTTGTGAATAAAACACGGAAAGAATCAAAGGACAAAGAAAAGGAGAACGATTCTGTAGAGTAGTTACCATGGGAACCCATCTAGACAGTGAGATGCTCAACTTGCTGTGTTTATTCCAATGGCTATTTAATTAGGTAGAACAACTTTGGAAGGAGAGTTTGAAAGCCTCTCAAAGGTGAATAGCAGCTTGCTCTCTAGCTGGGATTCTTTGGGAAATACAGGAAACCCAAGTGCATATCTGTTCCCAGCACTCAAGAAAAGCAGGAAATGAATCTTTATTGGCCACTTCAGAGGTGAACTTCCCAATACTGGGCAAAAGGGATGATGGAACCCCCATCACCTCCTACCTTTGGCCTAAATCTTCTCCCCTCCTCTTGTACACACTCCATAATTTTGGGACAACGCTATTCTAGAATTTGTAATATGTCTATGAATAGTTTCAGGTCAACCATGTACACATTCCATAGTTTTGGGGCAACGCTATTCTAGAATTTGCAACATGTCTATGAATAGTTTCAGGTCAACCAATACTGCATTTCTTTTAACAGTACATAATTCCCTAATAAGAAATTCACCCATTTCTAGAGTCTTTTACATGCTGGTCATTGCGCCTAATGTTGACAATCTGAAAATATGTTATGGAGACATTCATTTCAAGTCCATTTCTATAACTTAGTACAAAAGGACTAAGGGATTGGACGCTCAGAACTCCCAGAATGGGTGATCTTAGCTTCTATAGGCAACATTAATGAATTGATAAGGTGCTCCTATATTTGTTGATGCTCACAGTAAAATAGATAGATACTTCACTCCCAAGCTTCCATATAATTCAATGTACTGTAAATACAACATTTTTTAAATGACCATACTTTTTTTGTAATGTTCTTTTTATTTTCCACATTCGTTGATGAAAAATTAACGTATTTCTTTTAGAATGCAGGGATTGTTTGAAACAACAGCAATTATTTCCCTAGGAGAATGGTGAAGTACTGGGATGAGTTACCGAAGGAGGAGGTAGCATATCCATCCATAGAGGTTTTTATGTCCTGGGTTGACAAAGCCCTGGCTGGGATCACGGATTTGGGGTTGATCGTGTTTTGAGCAGATGACTGGACTCAATGACTCCTGAGCTCTCTTCCAGACCTAGGATTCTATAATTCTGTGACACCACTCTGGTTTCTCAGTACGTTAGAGGTGGTGTAGTGACTGCTGTTTCTCCACCCTTCAGAGGCAGTAAAGAGAGAGGGAGAAGGGCTTCAGGATATCCAGTCCTTTCTTTTATAGTTCTGGCCCCTCTTTCAGACACATTACCAGCTGGTTACCAGGAGACAAAATGTCTATGTCAAAGGAGCTTTATGGCTCCTTTTTCCTCATATTTTTGAGCTTCCTTTATTTCCCTTCATCCTCAATGATGCTATTTAGTGCCTTGATACAGAATTTACCACCGCACCCATTCCTTGCTTTAGACAGACCTGTTTGCCGACAACGGTTTGTAATGTGAGTTAATAATAGCATACAGTGTCCTCTTTTAACCACACATACCATATTGGAACATATGATTGCTTAGGATGATACCAATAAACAAAATATGAATTTTCAGATAATACATTGCCAGGCATATTTTTAAAGACCTGAAAAGAAAAAAATAAAATGCAAAGACTTCACACCAAGAAATCAAGCCCCTCCACAGGCTACACCCTTTGATATACAAAACAAGAACACATCATCCATTGAAATATATGACATAAAAAATGTGAGAGGACCACTGCCTGTACAGCACACCAAAAAGTTGTAGCCACATCCATAACCTTGTTATGGCAGCACAATCATAACCAATTTGTGGGAACAGCCCCTCGATTGCACAATAAAACCCTCTGAATTCCATGGGAATATGAAGGTATCATATTGCCATGAAATTCTTCATTCCCACCCTTCGCAACTCCAAAGAAACACACAGCAATGGTATGTTTCATCTGCCTCCCAAATGAAACATCTCGTGGGGATCCAGCTGTGGAGTGGGCCGGGCAGGAGTCAATCTGGATTAGAATCCTGTTCAATTCTGGTCTGATCTCTGAGAGGTCTGGATCTAACTGCAAATCCCAGATGTTTCATGAAAAAGTCCTTCCAAGGGTGCCTAGGACAGGGGTCAAATTCAGCAAAGCCAGAGCTCTTGCATCAATGACACTTACTAAATTTGACATCCCCCCAGCTCTTGTTCTGTAAGGGAAGAACACAGCCTTTCAGGAATGGGAGATGTTTAAATATTCCCCTCTCCAAACCCTCACAGGCATTTGTTGAGGAATGAAGAAGGTTTCATGGATTCCTCACCACCTGGTGCAACATCTCTAGAGGGTAGGGACTTGAAGAGCATTTTCTCTTCTCTAGCATGACCAGATTGCTGGAGCAGAATAAGTGGTTGCTGCTAGCACAATCGCCAATGGACCCGTTTATTTATTTATTGGGCTGTAACAGCAGGGCACCTATGTCTCCCAAACACCCCTTCTGGTTGGGTGTCTCTAGGCTTTAAAGAGTCTCTGCCCTGCAATTGGGCTATACCCCAGAGAATCCTACCTGGAGGCAATATGTTTGCCTTGCCAGCATCTCCAGTTGGGCCACTACGTATGACAGATCCCCTTGACCACTGTCTAATTCTACGCCTATTCCTCATTGTCCCAAACACTACTCCAAATACCAGCCCAGGGACCTTAGGAACAGCAGCCACACAGCACCATGTCCCTTTAACTAAAGTGCTTCAGTTGCTTGGGCTACTGCACTGTGTTCCCAGACTTCACTGATGCTTCACCTTTACCTCAGGGCTAATGAAGGTTGAGGCCCCACAGCCAGCCAGGAGTGGCTGCTCACTCCCCCAGTTCTGCCAGCACTGAGGTCTGTAGTGCTAAAGTTTGTTTTAGCCAGGCAGGAGTTCAAAGGCACATCGCTGATTTACACCATGTGAGGTTCTGGAGGAGGATGGGGAACCTTCTTTGGGTCAGGAGCCACTGGCCCATAGAAAAATCAGTCAAGTCCAAACACAAGTCAGAAGCAGGAAAAAAAATCTCACTGTTGCCCCCCTTTGAGAAGGAGAAAAACACTCCCCATATTCTCGTACATCAGAGCCTAGGTGGGCCCAGCATAGTCAATTTTTTGTTTGCTCCAGCCCTCAGGGGAGAAAATGGTGTGTGTGGGCGAGTTACCAGCAGCATGATCTTCCCAATGTTGGGGATCTTAGGTGTGTGGTGGGGTTAGCAGCAGCATGATCTTCCCAATGTTGGGGATCTTAAGCTACAGAGGTCAGATCCAGGCAAGCCAAGGTTTTGTGTTCACTCCCTAAGTCTTGCCCGCACTGAGCTGTCCATGGTGCTGCACCAGCCAGGGATCTAGGCTATCAGCATCAATAAAGCTCTGTCACCTTAAATCACCTGGGTTAGTGGGTTGACTTCAATTAAGTGAGGAAGAATTTCATGGATTTGTGATTTCTAGTATGAGATTCTGGGACCACACAACATAGAACCTCATGCAGTAGTTACAGCTGGATCTTCTCATTTAGAAACCCATCGAGGCTTGATTTCAAGGGGTAAGTGGAATTAAATCCACCATGTCTCTTGGCCTGTCCCACTGCTCATGGTTGAAAATGAGCTCAGGTTCACAGCCACTGAAGATCTGCCCCTTTCGCATCAACCTGAGCTGTGCTGATTCATACGACTTGGGGATCTGCCCAAGGACTCCAATGGAGAGATCTCCATGAACCCAGGCAGGAGATCTGGTCTAATGGGCAATGTCTGTCTGATGGTTACACCACTGAGCACGTCTATCCATGTCCACCAGACCTACCACAGTATGGAAAGGCCCTGAGCTTCCTCAGTGGGCACAAGCTGAGCAATGTAGCAGGTCTAAAGCAACCCTGTCAGCTTGTGTGACATCACTACAAAACACGGGACAATCCACATTCTCTTTTTTCCTATCTTAACAAGACTGCTGGGCAGGGCCCAGTGGCTGCTGATGGGAACATCTCCATGTGAGAGGTTGGGCAGGCAGGGCTCAACTGTATTTCAGCACCTGCCAAACCCTGGGAAGTGAAGGAAGAGAATTGCTATGTGCAATGCCTAGGAGCGACCACTGTCATAAGTAGCCCATCTCACTAGATGAGATCCAGGAAGGACCCTGTACAGGACAGATCCCAGCACTGAACGGCACAGGAATTGACTTTCGCCCTTTTCTATGGAGTCAGTTTTCCATCAACTTATCAAACTCACTTCCTCCCCAAGCCACAGCTGTGGGACGCTGCTGATCTTCCAAAGCAGTTCAGCAAGAGGGGAGACCTTCATGAGGCATAGGGGATGAAGTGCAGTCTGAAAGCCTGGCCCAAGCCAGATAATGGGGGGGATGTTGTATCATAGAGACACCGCTGGTATTTCTGAGCTGAACAACCAAATTTGGCCTTCACAAAAAACAAAACACATGTTCTATTTTTGTTCAGATTTACTTAGCACCCATCTGGAATGGGAAGAAGTGGGGTGCTATAGATCCCTAGCCTTGTACTCAATAGCTCTGACACACATTGCATCATGTAATAACAAGAGGAGTAAGGAGTGGGCCAAATTAATCCCCAGGTCATGAGTTACCCCCATGGTGGCTTTAGTTTCCTGAGCTCATTAAAGAGGTGTTGGGTCTCTCTGAGCTCAGGTATTCCCATGTGCCTCAGGAATAATGTTCCATAAGTTGCAGAGCTCAGTATAAAATTTCCTGAATGTGCCAAACTTGTCGTTTCTGTCTATGGGGAAACACCACCATGTGTGTCTCATCTCAGCAGGTACGTGCTGTTTTTCTGCACCACAGCCAGCCACCCACGCATTGAAAGATGGAGGGGAGAGATAACTCAGTGGTTTGAGCATTGGCCTGCTAAAGCCAGTGTTGTGAGTTCAATCCTTGAGCAGGCTATTTCAGAATCTAGGGCAAATCTGTCAGGGATACTAGGCCTGCTTTGAGGGCAGAGGACTGGATTCAATGACCTCTAAAGGTCCCTTGCAGTTGTAATTTTCTGTGATGGGCAGGTATTGAATTAAAAAGATCCCTTGAAGTTGTAATGTTCTGTGATGGGCAGGTATTGAATTAAATTGAAGATCCCCAGTGCTAAATACTTGAGCCCAGATCTAACCCCTCAAACTAAAGTCTAAAAACCTCTATGCCTGGAAAAACAGGCAATTACAAAATCACTGAAAATAGTGCTTTCCTACAGACTGAAGTACACAACACTCAAGCTTTACCCCAAACAGAAATGCCAAGCCACGGAGCTCTCCTTGTCTAAAGAGGGCAGAGAGACTGACACACATTAATCTCACTCCTTCTTCAGATAAGCAATAAACTCATCTGGCTGAGATGATTTTCACCCTGATTCTCCTACAGTGGAGTTACAACTCACTGTTTCCTGCTCGGATTAGAGAAAAAGAGTCATGGTTAATCTGCATATCCTTTTATTTGTACAGTGTGTGCATTCTATGGAATACCTGGAATGACCCGCTATGACCATCTGTCTCTGTGCACAGGGCAAACTGATACCCATATTTCATCACTTACTTCAGTACAGAGAAGGGACAGGTGTACAGAGCCATCCACTTGCCCACATCCCTGTTGCTGTCTGATCTCAGCTCAGAGGAGATGGAAGAGGGAAATCACTCGGTGGTGACTGAGTTCATTCTCACAGGACTGACAGATCGTCCGGAACTGCAGGTCCCCCTGTTTGTGTTGTTCCTACTGATTTTTGTTATCACCCTGTTGTGGAATGGGGGGCTGATCATTTTAATCATGAGTGACCCCCGACTTCACACCCCAATGTACTTTTTCCTTGGCAATTTATCTTTCTGTGATTTTTGCTATTCCTCTACAATTGTCCCCAAGATGATGCAGAATTTCTTAGCAGAGAAGAACAGCATTTCTTTCACTGCCTGCGCTGTGCAAATGTTTTTATATTTCTTTTTGCAAGATGCTGAGTGTCTCTTGCTGGCTGTGATGGCGTATGACCGTTATGTGGCCATCTGTAACCCGCTGCTCTATACGATCATCATGTCCAGGCGGCGTTGTAACCTCCTCGTGGCTGGGGTGTATGGAGTGGCTTTGGCAGATGCAACAACAGGCATATACCATACATTTCAGCACTCATTCTGCCGCTCCAACATCATCAATACTTTCTTTTGTGACACCCCTCCACTTCTGGTGCTCTCCTGCTCTGACACGCGCATCAATGAGATTGTGATGTATGCCTCCATGTGCTACACAGTAGTGAGCAGTGTTGTGACCATCCTCCTCTCCTATGTCTGTATCATCTCCACCATCCTGCGGATCCGCTCTGCTGAGGGCCGGCGCAAAACCTTCTCCACCTGCACTTCTCACTTGACTGCTGTGGGCATGTTTCATGGCACTCTCCTTTTTACGTATTTCCGACCCAGCTCCAGCTATTCCATGGACATTGACAAAATAACCTCACTGATCTACACAGTGGTGATCCCATTAATGAACCCCCTCATCTACAGCCTGAGGAACAGGGAGGTGAAGGGCGCTCTGAAGAAAGCAATGAATAAACTCAGACGGATTTCTTGAGTATTTTCAGCTCAGTCCAGGCATTTCTTGGCACTGGGGTTTGTTTTATGATTAGTTGCAAGTTTGAAGTGTGTGATTTTTATCGCTGAACCAAAGAGAATTCTTCCACCCTCCTAATTCTCTGTGGTTCTTTATGTGCTCTGGGGGGTAGTAGTAGAGATTGTGCATGGACACAAACCAAGTGACAAGGAGGACAAAGGTGATTTCCGTCACTTTAAGCTTTATTGTAAATTAAAGGCACAGCAAAACAAGTAAGAGCGAGGGTAACATTCCCAAGAGAGAGTACAGTGTGGGTGCCTGATCTGTGAGAGTCTGCACTAAACCAAATAAACAATAGTGTGGAAATGGTGAGTTTTCTCCACAACATCATTTAAAAATAAAGTTCAGTCATGTCAGACACCAGATAATTATACCCCATCAACAGGAAAGCTTCAAGTTCTTCCTCACTCCTACATTCATAGACTCATAAAAGTGGAAGAGGTCATCTAGTCCAGGTGCCTGCACTCAGGGCAGGACCTAGCATTAACTAGACTTTTCCCAACAGCTGTTTGTCTCACCTATTCTTACAAATCTTTAGAGATGGAGATTCCACAACCCCCTTATGCCATTTATTCCCATGTTTAGCTACTGTAACAATGGTGATGTTTTTCCTAATGGCAAATCTAAACATTCCTTCCTACAATTTAAGCCCTTTGCTTCTTCTCCTGCCATTGGATGTTAAGGAAATTAATGTTTTTTACTTCTTCGTAACACCCTTTTACACACTTGAAATCTTTTCCCACGTCCCCTCTTAGCGTTCTTTTCTCAGAACTAAATGAACCCAGTTCTTTCAGTCTGCCCTCACGGGTTATGTTTTCTAGATCTTTCATCATGTTTGTTACCCTTTGCAGGACTATTCAAACTTGTCCACAGATTTCTTGAATGCGGTGCCCAGAACTGGACAACATACTGCAGTTGTGTCATAATCTGCCTGGAGTAGAGCGGAAGCATTGCCTCTTGTATCTTGCTTACAGCACTCCTCCTAACACATCCCAGAATAATGTGGGGTTTTTTGCATCAGTTTCACACTTTTGACTCATATATAGCCTGTGGACCACTATAACCCCTAGATCCCTTTCTGCAGTGTTCCTTCCTGGACAGGAATTTCCCATTTTGCGTGTGTGTAACTGACCGTTCCTTCCTATGGAACACTTTGTATTTGTTCTAATTAGACATCATCCTATTTACCTATAGTCATTTAGACAGTTTGCCAGAATCACTTTGAATTTTCATTTTACCCTTCAAGACATTAGGAACTTCTCCCAGCTGGGTGTCATCCATAACCTTTATCGAGGGACTCTCTATGCCAGTATCAGTGGCACTGATGACAATATTAAACAGAACCGGACTCAGAACTGATCCCTCCCTGTGAGACATTTCTGGACGCTGCCCTTTATTTCATCCTGGATCTTTCTCAGCGACATTCAATGCCAGTGCTGTAAGTCTATTTACATTACACCTCTTCATGTGGCTATAACTCACTTGGACTTACAACAGACTCCACCCCACACTGTGTTAATGGGAGGGTTGCATAACAGAAGTAGTGCAAATTCAATCACCTGACAGCATCAGTGTAAACCAGCCCAGATGAGAATTCATGATGGAACACAGACTCTGAGGGAAGGATCATACAGCCATTGATGGGTAAGTGCTCTCCCATTGACTAAGTACATCTTCAACATGCTGGCAAAATAAATACTGGTTCATTTATCACAGCGGTCTCCATGTAGCTAGTAGTGTAACTCTGTCCCCAATCTCCCCTGCAGGAGCTCTTGCATTGTGAATAAAACACCGAAAGAATCACAGAGTCAAAAAAAGGAGAATGATACTATAGACTGGTTATAGGAGAACCCATCTAGACAATGAGATGCTCAACTTCATGTTTTTATTCCATTGGCTATTTAATTAGTTGAGCAACTTTGGAAAGAGAGATTGTGAGTATCTCTGAGCTGAATAGCAGATTGTTCCCTGGCCCAGAAAACTGGAAAGCTGAGCGCACATCTTTGAAGCATGAAGTGAATCTTTATCGCTAACCTCAGAAGTGAACATCCTCATATTGGGCCAAAAAATGAAAGAAAGAGAACTCTCCCACCACCACCCACTACGTTTTGCTGCTTTAAATCTCCCTCTCAACACACATTCTAGATACATCTGGACTACTGGCTTTTTTTGACAGAGACTTTGTCGACAGATGCTGTCAACAAAGCCTCTGTTGAAAAAGAGCATCTAAACTACAACCAGTTCTGTCAAAAAAGAAAGCCGCTTTTTTGAAAGAGAGTGTAGACCCTCTTTTTCCAAAAAGCACAGTTTGATTGCAATAGCGACCAAACTCTGTCAAAAAAAGGCGTTATTCCTCGTAAAATGAGATTTACCGCCATTGTCAAAACATTAAGTTGACAGAACACGGTGGTAGTGCAGACGCAGGTGTAGTTTAGTCGACAAAAGTCCACTTTTGTCTACAAAACTGTGTAGTCTAGACACACCCTTCATGGTTTTGGGACAAAGCTATAATAGAATTTGAAACACATGTATGAATCATTTCAGGTCAACCAAAGCTGCATTGCTTTTAACTATAAATTATTATTTCAGAAGAAATTCACCCATTTCCAGAGTCTTTTGCATCATGATTGTTCTACCTCATGTTCACAATCTAAAGCACTGATTTCAAGGCCCTTTCTATATCTTTAAACTAAAGGACTAAGGCAGTAGACACTCAGAACTCCTAACCTGGATGATCTTAGCTTCTGTAGACAACATTACTGAATTGATAAGGTGCTCCCATATTTGCTAATGATCATAGTACTGGTAGATAAACACTTCACTCCTGAACTTCTATATAATCCAGTTACAATAAGTACACCATTTTTAAAATGACCATGCCTTTGCAACTCTATTTTTATTTTCCACATTTATTGATAAAAGCAACACATTTCTTTTAGAATACAGGAAGTGTTTGAAATTGAAAAAATCTTAGGGTCTGTAGAAAGGGGAATTGCCTCTTTTCATTTCAACAGTTCAGAAGCAGCAGTCTCAAAAGGAGTGTCTAGTTCATGGTACACCTGGGCAAATATAAAAATGTGGCTCTTAAATTCTTTCTGCCTCCCTTTCCAATATAGGAACAATGGAGTAAAATCTACAGTTACAAAAGGGACAAATCCGCCCCCCAGTTTTATACAGTTGTGCAACATTCTTCAGATTCACCATATAGGTCTCACACATGGGCCGATGAGGTCTCTCACAGATGCCAGTCCTAAATTTTTAACTATTCAGGGGAACTTAGTGGATTCCCTATTTGAAGACACACTGCAAATGCTGTATGCTGAATCAGCTTATCCCTTATTTTACTGGCACTTCAAACATGAGGCCTGTCTCCTGCAATGGACACTTTCACCTTGAACCCATTTGCTGCTGCTTAAATTAAAGTCAGTAACGACCAGTTAACAGAACAGACAGGAAATGATTTCTGCATGATGGCAGTCTTTGTGCATTACAAGCCATATTTTAAAACGACATCAGACTAAAAATAAAATGCAAAGACCTCACAAAAGGAAATCGAGCCCCTCCAGAGGCTACACTCTCCAAATACAAGACAAAACTACATCAACCATCAAAATATATGACACCAAAATGTGAGAGGCTCACTGTGAGGCATACTAAAAAGCTGTAGCCACACCCAAAGCCCTGTGTAATCGGCAGCACAAGCAGAACACATTTCACGTGAACAACCCCTAGAGTGCACAGTCACATCCTTCAAATTCTATGGGCATGTGAAAGGATTCTATCACCATGAAACTTTTCATTCCCACCCCTCCCACTACCAAAAAGGACAAAGCAATGGCTCCTAGTCCACCTAACTGGAATAAAACCTGGGGATCCAGCGGTGGAGTGGGCCACAAAGGAGTTCAGTTCTGCTCTGGATTGGGCTCCAAATCCCAGACAGCTCATGAAAAAGCCCTTCCAAGGATGCCAAGGACAGGGATCAAACTCAGCAGAGCCAGGGCTCTTCCATCAGTGACACTTGCTAAATTTGAGGTCCCTCTGCTCTTGTTCTGTAAGGGAAGAACACAGCCCTTCAGCAAGGGGAGAGGTTTAAACAAGTAAATATTCCCCTCTCCAAATCCTCAGTGGCATTTCTAAGGAACAAAGAAGGTTTCAGTGAAGCCCCGACCTCATGTGCAACATCCCAAGAGGGAAGGGGCATGAAGAACATTTTCTCTCCCTAGCATGACCAGATTGCTGGAGAGGGACGAGTGGTTGCTGCTAGCACAACCGCCAAAGTCCCCAGCCTTCACTGATGCTTCTCCTTTACCTCAGAGCCAATGTAGGTTCAGGCCCAGAAGCCAGCCTGGAACACTTGCTCTCTCCCCCAGTTCTGCCAGTGCTTAGCTGTCCATGGTGCTGAAGTTTCTTTTCATCAGCCAGGAGTTCAGTGGCTCTACAGTGATTTACATCAGGTGAGGTTCTAGGAGACCACTAACTTAAATGACATTATGTCAAGTTACACAGATTTTCTGAAGGTTCCTGATTTCTATTAGGTGCTTCTGAAAACATATGACATGGAATCGAGTAATTGCAGCTGGCACATCTATTTTAGAAACTCTTTCAGTCTTGAAGAGGAAAGGGTAGCAGTATCAAATCCACCATGTCTCTTGGCCTGTTCCTCTACTCTTGGTTGAAAACGTGCTCAGGTTCACAGCCATTGAAAACCTGGCCCCTTGGCTACAGCGGAGGTGTGTGAATTTACACTGAGTGGGGATCTGGTCAAGGACTCCAATAAAGAGACCTCCATGCACACAGGCAGGGGACCTGGTCTAATGGGCAGTGCTCATGTGATGGTTACTCCATTGAGCTTGTCTATCCACGTCCATCAGACCTAGCACAATGCTCACATGCCGTGAGTATCCTCAGTGCGCACAAGCTAAGGACTGAACCAGGTCTAAGGAGGCCCTAAGGTACTGCCC